CCGCAGCCAAGTTGCTCGGGGTTTTCCTTGGGTCCAGTGAGGGCTGACTTCTCTCCAGAAGCCCCACCTAACCTGAGCTGCCGCGAGAAGGTCACTCTTACTTTGTAACCGAAAGGACACTGGCTAGGAGAGCCACTCTGTTAAACTCCCCATTCCACTTGGGATCAAGTAGTTGTGGTCGTTCACCATTTGCTTGAATACCATCAAAACAAGAATCTCACTTCGCCACGCAACCTGTTTCGTAGTGGACACCTCCGCTTCTTAGATGGGTCTTTTTGATTTTGCATCAAGAAGTGTTCCTTTTCATCCCCATTTTACCATTCTGGGCCCTTTAGACCAAGACCCATATTGTGTGTCTATCTTTATTGTTCTATTTTTTTATTTATCAAAGTAATACTTGCTCGTGGTTTTTAAAAAGTCACATCTTACAGAAACCACCCTAGCTGGTTTGGCTCAATGGATAGAACATCCTCCTGCAGACTAAAGGGTCCCGGGTTTGATTCCTGTCAAGGCACATGCCTGGGTTGCAGGCTCGATCCCCAGTAGAGGGCCTGCGGGAGACAGCCGATCCATGATTCTCTCTCATCATTGATGTTTCTCTCTCTCTCTCTCTCTCTCTCCCTCTCCCTTCCTCTCTGAAATCAATAGAAGTATATATTTTTTAAATCTTACAGAAACCTTGCACAGGCGTTCTAATCCCTTTCCCACATGACAGCCCTTCCAAGGTCTGATGACAGTGACCATACAGCCTTCTCTCTGAGCTGGGAACCCTCAATTCTTTCCTCATTTCTCACTCAGTGCACAGTGATTCCAAATTTTGCCCCAATCTGATTCTCAGTTATTCTGCACTCAGCCAGAACCCAGGGAGGGGAATATGATCTCATGTGCGTAAACCGAGATGTTGTGCTGAGACTAAAGATTGAATACAGCCACGGGAGGGTATTTGAAAGAGGCAGACCAATGAGGAAGGAGTGTTAAGAAGCTGCATGCCTGCTTCAGGAGGCCTCAGAGTTGAGGGCGTGCATGTTAAGGTTGAACCATGAGGAAGAATTGTCACTGAGGGAGAGAATGAGAGAAAGTCCTGGCCCGGATCACAAAGGCGACCAGCGGTAGGATATGGTACGAAAGGAGTGGGTGGGACCGTACCTTTTGGGACTTCTGCTCGGACTCCTACTTACCCCCCATCCACAGCACAACAAGTGCCTAACTGGCCTGGGAGGTGCTTTCCATTCTTAGAGTGAAGGAACATTTCTGCTTTGGACCCAGGCCAGACAGAGATGTGGGATGGTGGAGTGGACTAATCACGCCAACAGAGGCTGTGCCTGGGAGTGAAGGGGCGGCTGGCGCGGCCAGGCACTTGTTCTGCACTTGCAGACAAAGGCATTCAGGAAGCAGCCTCTGAGAGTCAGTCAGCTCTTGAGTGGAACTCTGGTTCTGATGTGGCAAAATATCCCAAGGAGGAAAGGAAAGCGCAGGTGACAAAAGAAATCAACAAGCTGTAAATGGAGAGAACCAAGATGGCGGCATAGGTAAACACTGGAGTTTGCTGCCTCGAACAACCACTTCAAAAATACAACTAAAAGACGGAACGGACATCATCCAGAACCACAGGAAGGCTGGCTGAGTGGAAATCCTACAACTAGAAGGAAAGAGAAAACCATACCGAGACTCAGAGGAGGCGCAGTGCGGAAGTAAAATACTGAGGTGCGGAGGTGCATGTGGAGCGGGCTGGCGGCTGAGGGCGCGGTTGTCGTTTTCAATCGGGAGGGAGTCTCAGGCTCTGAGCTCCAGATCCAGGCGAGTCTCTAGGGACCCAGACTCATATGGGAGAAGCGGGACTGTCTGGCATCGGTCGGAACTCGAGAGCAGCTTTCTCTCCGAGGGGCTTGCAGCGATTACCGGGACATTGAGAAGCAAACCTCCGAGGGCAAGACTCAGAGGAGCCATAACTGCTAGCCCCGCCCTGTTGATCCCGTGGGACCCGCCCCGCCCAAGCCCTGCAGGGAGGCTTTTGCTGAATAGCCGCAGGCAAAGGCTAGATTAGCACCTCCCTAGAGATCCAGGAGCCAGGAAGCCCAGAGGTCAGAGTAGGACCATCCAGTTTGCAGCTCTGTGGAACCATAAAAGACACACTCAGGGGGCAGACTCAGTGAGCACCAAAGCCCCATTGAAGCAAGTCTTGCCCCAGAGAGGTGTCTCCAGCACAGAAGTTCTCCCACTGCAGACACAGCTGATTTCCACCGCCAATTGGCCTGGAGTTCAATTCCTCCCAGTGATACCTACAACAATCAAGGCGTAACTATAACAAGCTGTAAATGAACACAGGAACCTGGCTTATAAACTCAGAATTTTAAAATAACAGGCCCTGCCCTAGCTGGTTTGGCTCAGTGGACACAAGTGTTGGCTTGCGGATTGAAGGGTCCTGGGTTCAATTCCGGTCAAGGGCACATGCCCAGATTGTGCGCTTGATCCCCAGTCGGGGACTTGCAGGAGGCAGCCAATCAAAAAGACAAGCCATTCAGGGATGGGACAGGAAACTCACTTTATAAACTAAAGATTGCTTTTATCTCCTGAAACTTAGTTTCACAATAAGATTCTTTTCTGCTTCTAGAGACATCACTCGCTCATATTCTAACCAAACTATCTTGTTTTTAAAAGCCAGTACCTCGATTAGAGGAGAAATAAACTGTATTAAAGCACGCAGCTTTCCAGGGGATCTTTTCTTCGGCAGTGTGCCCGGGGCAAATCTCTCTCCTCTCCTCTCTCGTGTTTGGGCTTGGGGCCTGATGTTATTTTGATGTCAGCTGCTTTGAGCCAAAGTCAGAGGCTGGGACCAGCATCATCTCCGTAGGAAGAGAACCAGGTGAGAGACAGTCTAGTGCAGGGGTGGGCAAACTTTTTGACTCGAGGGCCACAATGGGTTCTTAAACTGGACCGGAGGGCCGGAACAAAAGCATGGATGGAGTGTTTGTGTGAACTAATATAAATTCAAAGTAAACATCATTACATAAAAGGGTACGGTCTTTTTTTTTTTTTTAGTTTTATTCATTTCAAACGGGCCGGATCCGGCCCGCGGGCCGTAGTTTGCCCACGGCTGGTCTAGTGGCTGGTTTTCAGAAGGCCCTCCTCCTGAAAGTTTCCATCAGGGGGCTTAGGAGGAGAGGTGTGAATTGGCTCCTGCGTGTCAGCAGGGAGGGCAGGGCAGCAGCTGCAGGCCACGGGACCCAGGAGCTCCGCGGCTGCAGGACTCTGCTTCTCGGTGTGTTTGTGTCTTTCTGCACGGCGACCTTCCACTGAGTTGGCTTTCTCCATCAGGTTGAGCTCATGGCCATCAGAAAATCATGGACTCACCTGGCAGTTCACGTCCCTGACAGCCAATTGAAAAGGAAAAAAAGAGCAGAACTCCAAGCGTGTGATTGATTCTCCAGTCATGTGCCTCCCCTAGACCAACCTTTAAGGCCCAGAAAGTGGGATGTGCTCTTTCTTTTATATATATATATATATATATATACACACACACATACATACACACACTAGAGGCCCAGTGCATGGATTCATGCATGGGGGGGTCCCCCCTCAACCTGGACTGTGCCCTCTCCAAACCGGGGCCCCTCGGGGGATGTAGCAGTGCACAAAGTGGCAGGCAGCCGGGGAAGAGCCGGAGCTGGGCTTGGCGCTCAGCACTCGGTGCTTTAAACCACTCGCCGCTTGCTCCTTACCGGTGCCACTGCCGCTGCCGCAGAGGCAGGAGAGGCTACCTGTGCTCACCAGCCATGAGCCCGGCTTCTGGGCTCCGGCTGTGGGAGTGCACTGACCATCAGGGGGCCCAGTCACACAATACCATGAACTCGGTTGCTAAAACAACAAGGCCAAGATCAAGGTGCTAGCTGGCTCAGTGTCTGTGAGGGCACTCCTCCGTGTTTTCAGAGAGCCACCTCACGTGGCAGGGAGGGACGGAGCTCCAGTCTCTCTTCTATTTTTTTATTTTATTTTATTTTATTTTTAAATATATTTTATTGATTTTTTACAGAGAGAAAGGGAGAGGGATAGAGAGTTAGAAACATCGATGAGAAAGAAACATCAATCAGCTGCCTCCTGCACATCTCCTACTGGGGATGTGCCCACAACCAAGGTACATGCCCTTGACCGGAATCGAATCTGGGACCCTTCAGTCCACAGGCTGATGCTCTATCCACTGAGCCAAACCGGTTTCGGCTTATTTTATTTTTTAAATATTTTGCAAACAAGAGGGAGGGAATGAGGGAGGGAAAGAGGGTGGGAGGATTCATTCACAGCAGGAGTGATCAACCAGGAACAGCAGGGGGGAAGGGCATTCCTGCCACGCAGGCCTCCCCGCCTGCTTGCGGGTGCTTCTGCCACAGGTGTTTGTCCAGGGTGGCCCGCAGGCGGAAGGGCACATGGCAGTGGGGGCACTCAAAGCGGGTTCCGCCGGGCCCCTGACCGTGTATGCGGCGGCTAAGCTTGCTCTTCTGGACACAGGCAAAGGAGCAGAGGTCGCAGGTATAGGGCCGCTCCCCGGTGTGTGAGCGCCGGTGCACAGTCAGGCTGCTGCTCTGGGCACAGGTGTAAGAGCACTACTGGTCACAGGAATAGGGCCGCTCGTCCGTGTGCAGGCGCATGTGCAACTTGAGGCTGGTGAAGGAGCTGAGGGTCTTCAGGCACACAGGGCAGGTGGGGCTCTGCCTGGGGAGGCTGTTCGCCCGGGAGCCCTCGGCCAGGCCCAGCAGCAGCGGAGTCTCCGGGGCCTCGGGTTCAGTCTGGTAGATGGACAGTCCGTGGTCCCACTGGGCATGGCGCAGCAGTTTCCAGGCCTCGGTGAATTGTCGGCCACAGCGGAGGCAAGTCAAAGCCTTCAGGTTCTCAAGTTCTGAGTCCGAGCCAGAGCTGGGGCCGCGCGAGGGCTGACAGCCCTGCTTCTTGTGGTCAATGAAAGCCATGATGGCCTCCAGCGGGAAGGTCTGCAGGCAGAGGCCGCAGGTCAAGATATCGGGGTCAGTCCAGGGCTGGCGGTCGTGAGGATCAGGGACCAGAGAAGTCCACGGCGCCGACTGGTTCTGCAAGCCCTGGGCGAGGAGGGTACGGGAGGCGGCGGGCACCGGGATAGGGGAGGAGCGGGGTGTGCCCTCGAGGGAGCCCGGCGTGGGCACCTCCTCTGGGGAACCCCGCTGCAGCCCCGCGGCCTGTAGGGGCCACGGATGTGGCTCGGGCTTCACGTCGATGACCAGGTGCCCCTTCTCCGTCTCGTCGTCGGTGTGGGCGGCGGACTCGGGGTCTACTCGGCGGGACATGGTTCAGGGTGCGGATGATCTGGTAGGCTGGGTAGCTGGGTAGCTGGGTAGCTGGCGAGCTGGGTAGCTGGGTAGCTGGCGAGCTGGGTAGCTGGGTAGCTGGCGGGCGGAAGGTGCGCGAGACGCGTGCGCTTGGGCTGTGATGCTCAAGTAAATGACTGAGGCGCCTGGCCTCGAACTTTTATCTGTGCCGGCCTGGCCGTGGCTCCGCCCACCAGGGCGGGGCCTGATGGGAGCAGAAGGGGCTCCTGCAGGCACCTGGCTGGAGACAAAACTCAGTCTGAGCCTTGCCCACGGGGATTGGCTTAAGGACTACGCCTAAGGGCACCGAGCTCAAGCGGCCAGCATAGGAACAGCGACTTCAGATCCCGTTTTGGGGCTGCTGAAACTGAGGCACGGCACCCCCACAAACACCCAGGAGGGAGAAAATGGTAGGGGCTACGTTTCCCACTGTGCCCCTAACAGTTTCTTGGACTCTTTCAGTAAATACATAATAAAAATTCACTGGGCAAACCTCTATTGCGTGCCTATGGTGCACCAGGTACCGTTCTAAGCACTGGGGACATTGCAGCGAACCCAACAGACAATAATCCCTGGCCCCCGAGTTGACTGGTTCAGGGAGACTGGTTAAAGGTCAAGCAAAAGTAGTGATTCTTAAAATATATATATATTCAGTTTACTGGTTTACGCTCAACAAGGTAACTATGTAAGAGAGTGCCTTCCTGGATGATCAGTGTCACCTGGAGCCAAACAAAGCTAGGAAGGGTTATAAAGGGGCAGGGTGAGTTGGGGGTGGGGCGGGGGGAGACTCAAATTTCTCCCCGCACCAAGGAAAGGTATGGGGGCGTTGAGACCTGAGGGATGTGAGGAGTCAGCCAGTCTCTGTTCAAGAATAACAAGGGGAGACAAGATGGAGGTGGAATAGGCAGATGCGTCCCAGGGCTTGTCCCAGAGCGAATGGGGTGAGCAGCTGAAACTAAAAACATCTACCCCGAATTGGTGAAGGAGACTCAGCTGGTGAGACAGTTTGCGGCTGGGAAGGGCAGAGTTCCCCTGGAAAGGTAAAAACCAGGGATCTGGGCAGGAAAGTTTGCCAGACCTCTGAGCCCAGAGGGTCAGAGGGAGACCGTGCGGCACCCAGCCACGTCCCTTGGGACAGGCACAGCCCCTGACTGGGGGAAAGGAGATCCGAGAGACTGTTGGCACCTGGGGATTTGAGATCTGGGTTCTGTAATTATGGAGGACTGAGCCTAAAGGGAGCAGCCTGAAGCGCTGACCAGACCATGCAGTGCAGGTGAGAAAGGAGCTCACAAAGACTCAGCCTTCCCCGTTTCTGCAGCCGGCGTTTGTTTGTTTGTTTTCACTGAACCCATTTCATAGGCCATTTCGGATACAGACACTCACCCGCGCTGAGGAGCGGGAGAAGGTGCGGACGAGTGGAATCTGGGGAGAGGCTGGGGAGAGAAGAGGGGCCAGGAGAGGTGGCAGCAAATTGAGTGCTGAGTCACCCCTGAGCCCAGGACCTGGGCAGC